TGAAAAAGGACACAAGTTCTTTCTTTTAACATTTTATTCACTTCTTTGTACAATGTTGTCAAACGATATGGACGACGAACTTTGCCAGGCCCATGATACTTAGTTTCTTCATCTGACCATCAAGAACTTGCCTGAAACTCTCAAATTCTGGATTGTGTAGCATATCAACATCAGTTTTATTCTCAATCCGTAAATGTGAAACTATTCCCATAACTAAATACGGAATTCGGTGGGTAATATTCATCATTTTTATTTTACTCATTTCCAAAACTATCGTGTTTACCATTCCGCCACACTTACACACTGGACTCTTTGTTCTGACTCGGGTGTTCAAGTTACTGATCAACCTGTGATGTGTTGTTTTAGCACGTGCACTGGTGATCATTTGAGGAAAAGTAGGTGTTCATATAGTCTGGAGGCTCAGCGCGGGGGGGTGTCCATCAAATGGGCACAAAACCAGACCCAACTTTTCTAGAGTAAAATTTTGCGTAGAATACGATGCCGAGTGGTAATCAGTCCGCCGTTGGGGCGTTTTCGAGATATTCGGGGTCAAAGGTCAAATGGGTTCATTTACACTGAAAGTGAATGCGCGGTCATTCCTGTATCATAAAAATAAGCTGAAATGTAAACTTGCTAAATTCACTTTTTTTCTTTGTGACCCCAGAGGTCAAAAGGTCACATTTTCCGTTTTAGCACTAGGAAGATTTAAAGTAACAAATGTCAGCGTAAAATACAAAAACTAAAGCGAAACCTGTTCTAATTAATAATAGGAACATTTAAAATTTATCTTTAGGTGGTCTTAGCTTTGGAACGTCGAAAATGATCTTGCATAACAGAACAGAAACGCTTCGGAGCCTGTTTCAAAAATACATAAAAACTGTTAAATCAAAATCTCTCCGAATTAGTTTTACAACGAATGCTATACATAATGATACAAGTTGTCTGAAAAAAACAATTGAACAGTTCCATGGCTGGACTCAAGTCTGCAGGCCGCGTCACAAATCCTGCCCAAATTTTCCCCGCTAACATTTAACAATACGACATATATATCCTGTGAACTACTATGTACAATGCATTCGTCCGTTTTATCTGCGTCCATGTTCCGGCGAAATTCATAAAAACTCATAAAAAATTTGCAAACTTTTAATCTCGTCGTAAGATACGTGTTTTCCCGTCACAGATTAACGTCGGTTTTCCTAGACTGGGATTCTCGGAAATCCACACGGCCTGCAGACTGGAGTCCAAAACTGAAACTATTCAATTGTTTTTCAGATAACTAGTATCATTATGTATAACAATCGTTGTGAAAATAAATCGGAGAGATTTCGATTTGACAGTTTTTACGTATTTTTGAAACAGATTTCAAAGTGTGTTGATTCTGTTATGCAAGATCATTTTCGACGTTCCAAAGTAAAAGTTCGGTGCTAAGACCACCTAAAGATAAATTTTAAATGTTCCTATTATTAATTAGAACAGGTTTCGCTTTATTTTTTATATTTTACGATGACATTTTATTGCTTTAAATCTACCTAGTGCAAAAACGGTAAATTTCTCCTTTTGACCTCCAGGGTCACTAAGACCAAAGGTGAATTTAGCAAGTTTACATTTTTATTGAAAGTGTGATTACTTTCGATCATTTTCAGCTTCTTTTCATAATACAAGAATGACTGCGCATTCACTTTCAGTGCAAATGAACTCATTTGACCTTTGACCCCGAATATCTCGAAAACGCCACAACGGCGGACTGATTACCACTCGGCATCGTATTCTACGCAAAATTTCACTCTAGAAAAGTTGGGTCTGGTTTTGTGCCCATTTGATGGACACCCCCCCCCCCTCCCGCGCTGAGCCTCCGGTCTGATATAAATGAACACCCCAACATACTAACCCGGTGATTGTCAAAACAGACCACGCATTTTCGTGCGTGCACTGCATTAGAAATAAAAAGAAACACCGTGTTAAAGCTGAACTCCGATTACAAAACTACAGAAATAATCTAATAAAAAAAATTGACATCCTAAATCAACTAAAATTTGGATTTTATATTTAGTTAAGATTTCGAGAAACAGGGCCCCGAGCTCTCGTAATTTAACACTTCGAACGCTGATGACGCGTTCTCAGTGTACAACCTTGCACGAGATCGGTTGTTCATTTAGCTTGAACCCCTCTGTCTCAGTCGATAACCCTTACTGACCAACTGTTAAAAAAGTTCACAGCCCACTGATTTCTGCGTAAGGTATTTATGAGCACGGCATTGTTGGCACATTCACTGATGTCTTGTCACTCGAAATTGAAAAGCGCGTATCATTCGTATTTTGCTCACAATCCGTGTACATTAATTTTTTCTGCACTTTGGCTAGCTTTAAATAATTCTTTGTCAGAATCTACGTTTTCTTACTTTTTCAACCACATTGTCTACAAACTGACTTGCTGGGATTAGTTCGTCGTCCGAATCGTTTGACAACATTGCAGTTTGTGAACACGTGGTTACTAAAATGTAATGCACGTGCAAGTTAGACTTGTTTTCTTAATTTTGTCATATCAGTCGCAGGGCCGATATGGGATAAACCATTGTATTATCGGTGAAATCAATTAGGATAGATTAAACATTAATGTCGGTGTGTAAGACACATATTCATCTCTTACATGCCATGTCTTGCACGAGACCATTAAACAACTTAAAATAAGGACACTATCCAGCACGTTCATTTCAATAAAATACGTCAGGTGGGTCCAATATTTCAACTTGTATAAATAATGTACGCTTGGTACATTGCCCGTATCATTATTTGAAATAATTGTACAATAACATCAAAGGATGACGTCACATCTGTATTTTAATACAGAGTAAAACACGGTAACATTAGAGAATTATACAAATAACATAAACGGATTTGTATTGATTTGATAGTATTGTTGATGAATATTGATGTTGATTATAACTGACTTACGTGTACATTGCTTAAGTCATGGTATCTACCTTTTTTATATAACTGAATTCTTAATATATAAATGTTTTATCGTTGTCTTTTTTTCTAAGTTTTTCTAAATCTCAGATTTGACTGCATCATTCCATAGGGCATCCATAAATTGGGTAATTTGTAAAACGGGAGACAAATCCAATAGTTCATTGGGCCAATCACATGGTTTTTGACTTCAAGGACTTCAGCAAAAAATCGGTTGATCTAAGTTTTATGTGACTTTCCATTTGTAAAGTTAGGCCAGTTTATTTTCAATATATTATACAAGAGCTTGTCAGCAGAACCGACGAGATAATGAAATCGCTCTTGACCCCACAACTGGATGTGTTTGTTTTGTGCAATCGCCTCTGGCATTCGACAATCAGGAATAATATCAAATGTTTATTTTTAATTATTTGATGGCCAATTGCCACACCACATCTGCCTCTCAGTTGGTCAGACTGGTGGGCAACGTTACCTATACCCCCTAGCATTTCTGTCGTTAGTGCGATAATACAAGTATTTGTCAGTTTTACAGCTTGTTAAGAAAACGATTTAAGGATAGGGGCCATCAACTGCAAATAATAATCATGATCCACTGGAGAATTAGCCAAGAACTAATTTTAATATACTTTAGTCATTAGTCAAGGACAGTAACACTGGGATAAGCTTTTGAAGAACCTCTAAAATTGCGGCAAAGGGAGTGCGTCCTAGTTTGGGAGAGGTACGCGGACGATTCAACCGGGCTAGCATTCCTCTGGGTGGCTGATTTTCACTAAGAGGACGGACAGTCTCGATGTTACAGAGATATACTGGGAAGAGTCCGATAGGGCAAGAATTCCACGAGACTGCTGTTACGTCACCGAACCGCGCTCTTGAACTATTCCATGTCCTTCTTCGCCCCCATTGAGAGAGGCGCGATGGCGGATGCTGGAGTAAGTTGATAGATCGAAAACTACATGTGCGAAACACTATTCGGGGGCGGGGGTAGTAGGATAAAGAGACAAGGCCCGATACGGTGCATGTGAGTAACCTTAATACGAGTACGGTTTTTTTTTACATTTATCGTCGATCAATGGAGATACTTTGGAAAAATAAAAACGTTGGATGTCCTTTCCCAGCCACCGTATAGACTATACCGGACGGAAAGTAAATATACATGTATATCTACTGAAGTCTAACGTAGAGTACACGTCAACCAGTGCATGAGACTCGGTTGTTCATCCCATTAAACGCTCTTCCTCGGGATCCCCAGTGGTATCGTCCCCTTCTACTTCACCATACCCTGGATTCATTCACGGAGGAGACACAGTCAAATTATCCGCCATTGATACTTGTGCTATAGTTATCAATCAATCGGACACAGCTCACCAAATATTTCCACCCCGTCACCCACGAAACTAGGTCCAAAGCTATTTTTAGTCTTTCGCTCGCCATCCCCCCCACCCCTTTTTGCATGGGGATTTTTGTTGACCTTTTAGTGTAGAATCGAAGAAATGGGTTTGAAAATACATTTACTGTCAGGTTTTTGTGAATATTCAGGCGGAAGGATACGAGAGTTAAGAGGTTGTTTTGGTTGAAATGTAGGGCGGAAAATTGCATGTTTATTTGTCTCTACTTCCAGCTTGTGTATCTCAAGTTTTTCATGAAGAACCTCCTACGTGCTTTTGGGCTCGATCTGTGGTAGAAAGCAATAGAGAGAGAGAGAGAGAGAGAGAGAGAGAAATGGGGTTTAACGTCCACTCGACACAAACTAGGTAATTTCGGGACTAACATATGGTTCAATTTTATTTCCATAATTTGCTTGCGCGTAGGGGGTCTTTAGCAGTGGGAGGAAACCGGAGGACCTGGAGAAAACCCACGAGGTTGGACAGGCGACCCTACTCCTTGTCACGTACAGCCGGGGAATCGAAATCATGCCAGTTGACTCAATGACAGACTTTATGATACAGCGCGCACGTGCTAACAATTCAGCCATCCACAGTGCCACAGTCGTTACGATAATAAACAAAGTTTCAGGAGAGCCAGCTCAATAAGATTTTATGATAAGGCATTTTTTAAGTCTTTGATAAAGTCTTGTTTTATTTGTTTGAGAAGCTCGGGTCTACTGTATATATCCAGAGCTGTGTATTCTAACACCTTGGCTTGTTTCAATGTGAACGACTGGGCGACAGCAGAACCTGCAAATATAAAACAAACATGGTTGAGTAAACTACAAAATAAATTCTCTAGAATACAAAGCCTCTTGGGATTTTGGTTCGGTGACACGAAGTAGGTATCTCTTTATTGAAATAAAATTGAACCATGTTAGTCCCGAAATGACCTAGTTTTTGTCAAGTGGACGTTAAACCCCATCTCTCTATAAATTCTCTAGAATACAAATACCTCCCTAGCAAGTGTAATGGGCGGTCATATACTGAACTTGGGATTTTGGTTCGGTGACACCAAGTAGGTATCTCGCTCTCTCTCTCGCCCTCTCTCGCTCTCTCTCTCGCCCTCTCTCGCTCGCTCTCTCTCTCTCTCTCTCTCTCTCTGAAACCGTACCTGAATCTGTTGTGAATTCCTTGGTATGATTGGCTGCTTTACCACCAATAGAGTACATAGGATGTATTCTGGGTACCACGTGCGAAACATTACCCATATCTGTCGATCCAGTTCGTGGATCTGGTTCATCCCATAATTCAATACCTGCTTCCGCAGCATTCGTCTCGAACAATCCCACAATGGTCTTATTACTGATTAAACTGGAATATGGTCTGTCATCAAACCTATAGTCTACCTACAAATAGACAAAACTATAGTCTACCTACAAATAGACAAAACTATAGTCTACCCACAAACACACAACAAAAATCGATATCAGAGTTTTGGGAATCTTCGCCGGAACCACGGTGACTGGCTGAGCTCGCTAACTAGAAGATCATATGTTCGATCTCAGTGTTCGTCGATAAATCGTCTCAGTACTTCCAGTCTGGTCTCCTCTTGTGGCTGAACCACTGAGGGCCCATTCATATGGCAAACTCGTGGACAAGACATCTCGCACAACATACTTTGCTACGACCCACTCTTGATCCTATTCCACATCTCAAGGGTTTGTTTATGTTCGTTTCAGTACCTGTACAGGTGGACCAGGTGTTTCATGCGACCCGAACGACTTTTCGTTGTCCGGTCGTTCGTCCTGTGCTACTGACAGTGATAAATCAGGAAGAAAAACTCCATAGAACTTTCGCGGGTAAAAAGGGATCAAACCCAAAACGTCCGGTTTGGCGATCTAGCACCGTATTAACTGAGCCACCGAGTTCAGAAGTGAAGTTGAATTAAGGCCAAGTATTTGTTCGGTATTACAGATAGCTTCATTGTATTTTGTCGGAGTTAATCATGTCTATCAATCAGTGGTCTACACGGGTTTTTTCTATTAGAAAGTGAAGGGCTGGATGGCCGAATGGCCATAAGGTCTGCCATTGAGCCAGCTGACGTGGTTTCGAATCCCCGGTTGTACGTGGCAAGGAGTAGGGTCGCTTGTCCAACCTCGTGGGTTTTCTCCGGGTTCTCCGGTTTCCTTCCCCTGCTAAAGACTCTTCGCGCAAGCGAATTACTGAAATAATACTGAACTATATGTTAGTATCGTATCCCAGTCAGAGAAGAGCAGAAGGATGTTAAACCCTATTATTTAATTGAAAAAATATTAAAAAAACATACCGTACATCCAGTTGCCACAGCAGCGCTTTCAATACATTCACCGATCTTGTTTATTAATACATCTACTTCAGTATCAGTTGGTGCTCGACAATAATATTCTAATCCAGTTAAATCTCCACCCTGTCTTATGAAACCTATCCATAAAATGAAATGGTGTTTAACGTCCCACTGTTCTGCTCTGACTGGGATGATGAAATCTTGCCAGGTCAGCGGCACGGCAGTCTCCCCTTATATCGAATCCGAACGACTATACATACGTTGGCATTGCCAGATCCTCAGTCCTATGTCACGAAGGAACCACGCCTGAAAATCCGGATGAGCTTTCTCGGCAAACAACGGAGTCGAATACGGGACCGAACACGGACCGAACATGGGACCGTATAGGTTAGCGAACAAACGTCTTACACCCCCTGCGGACCCTTTTCTTTCCTGTCATAAATCTGCGTAAAACATGATTGGGAGTGTGTGTGAGTGTGTGTGTGTGGCGGGGGGGCGGGGCGTGGTAATTACCTCTATTACATTAAAGAGCCGGAGAAATCACGTCGAATTGTTGCAGACATAACCATTCAAATTAAAATGACCAAATGTCAGTTTCAGCATGATCGAAGTTCTGTGTTATCAAGGTGTTATACCCCCGTTCCATTATTCAAAGACGAGTTATCGCATTATCAAAACTATTTCTTTACCGAGCTAAAATAATAACATTCGATATAATCAGTCATAATCGCATTCGACATAATCATATTCGACATAATCACATTCGATGTAGTAACAATCGACAAAACGGCTTGATAATCAGAAACAACCATATTATCAAGCTGTGTTCATATACGTGAGTGGCTGTATATACTGTAAACAGGGCTCAGTGTATAAGCAATTACGAAGAGCTAATATATATACACCCAGTCTGACGAAATATATCAAACTGATGAACAGCCAGTTTGACTTAAAACCTTTAGGATTAAGAGATCATCGGTTCTCATGTATACACCGAGTCACAGGTTGAAGATCCCCTTATAGTTGGGAATCGATATAAGAGCAGCCCGCATTAATTGAAAAGATTTCTTAAGTAAAACTTACTATGAACTGTACATCTTGGCGTAAAGTCTTTATATAAAGCGGCTACGCTCCCGTAACACATACCAGTTGCCTTTAGGGCATTCGCACCGTCACATGGAAAACCAGCCTCATGTGACTTTCGTCCATGATACACGACGGTACATCTGGAATAAAATATAGAGCAACAATCACGTGCTTGTTGGAAATCGATATGGCGCCACTAGTCGGACAACAAAGAACCCATTTATGCCTGTCAAACTTTGAATCATAGCCAACTCCATGGCGTATGCCCAGAGCGAAATGAAATGAAATGAAATGGGGTTTAACGTCCTACTGTTCTGCTCCTAACCTGGGCTAATGAAGACGGGCATACTCCATACAGTGTGCTATGAGGGAAATTTTGCCCGGGCAGCGGCGCTACGGCCTACTTTTATATCGAATTCCAACTGCCAATGGATCTTTTACGTGCACGCCAATGTGTACACGGGACCTCGGTTTTTCTTCCTATCCGAACGACTAGACAGCTGTCCTTGTCAGGCCCTCCATCCTGCATCAATGACAATGCCTAGAGCGAACACACCAGCGTAACTGAAACTGTGACAGAGTGTTGGTCTAAACTAAATTTCAATCTGATCCACTCCTCTTGCAGTGCCAAGGCCAATTCTTGCAGTGTTGTCGGTTGACGTTGACGTCGACGAACACGTCTCCCGACCATTTCCCAGACATGTTCGATATAGGGGAAAGGTTCGGACTTATGGCTGACCAAGGCATATAGACAATATGGTGACGCTGGAGGTAGTCATTCACGATACGAGCGTAGGGGGCACGGGCATTATCATCTTGAAAGATGAAACGTCGACCTGCAAGTTGAGCATGGGGCAGAACTATCGGTGCCAGAATGTGGTCGAGGTAGTACACACCGGTGACCCTTTCTTGAACAATATGCAAGTCCGTTCTGCCGGTCATGGTGATTCCTCCCAACCCATAACAGACCCACGCCCGAATCTGCCATGCTGTCTGACATTAACGTTAGCATGACGCTCATTTACACGCCTCCAAACGCGAGCACGCCTATCGGTGAAATCCAGAGTACATCTGGATTCATCTGAGAACATTACACGAGCCCATCGACGATTACCCTAATTTCTACGCTGCCTACACCATTGACACCTATTTGCCATGTGCTGGCGAGTTAATTGAGGCACAATTTCACAGGACCTGTGTACGAATGTATCAAACCTGGGCTTGTGTATTGACTCTAAGACGACCTGAACGAGGTGTATCATTAACATTGCGTGTTTGTTGGTACCGGTTCCAGAGTCTGCTGATCACAGACTGTGACACATTAAGCCTGTTGGCTACTGCTCGCTGTGTAGAACCCATTTGATGCATACCAATAGCAGGTAGACGTTCATCATGTTGAAGACGTCGTATTGCAAATTAAACGTAACACACTAAAGCAAAGATACGCTAAACAGTAAATCTAATGAAAGAACCAATAGGAAAGTAAACATGGATAGGATAATCCAGCACGCGGCAGTTTTCATCAAACCCTTCCTTGAAGTGTTAAATTTGACAATACCCCCCCCCCCCCCCAGGTGTATGGCTCAGTGGTTCTGTTGGGGCTATAAGTTCTTCATCTGAGAACATACTCTCAAAGCATGTCAAGTGTCCATGACTATTTATCATATCACAACCTGCATAGGTATTTGCATTTCAATATCCCCTACTTTCTTTGAAGAGTATATATGACGTCATGATGAAAATAATTGTCACAATTACTGCTTATTACTGGGCAACGTTTCGACTAGGCTTCTTTAGTCAATATCAAGCTATGATAAAAAATGAAAATATGACAGGACAATATATACATGTACAGAACAATACTTAGTTAATAATGAAAACAAGAGATCTCCCTTAAACATTCAATAATACCAATTTGACTAAAAACTGACTGACTAATTGATTAATGGATAAGTTGTTGTGGAGTATATACAATGATTAGTAGGTTTTAATAATGACAAACGTTGAAAGAAAATGAAATTTGATAAAATGTTACCAACGACCCCTTTCACTGAAATAAACCAAATGATTAATGAATAGATTGTTGTGGCGTATTTACAACGATTTGATGAGGTTTTAATCATGACAACATCCCAAGAAGATGAGATTTGATTGGTATTATAACGAAAAATAACTGATATGTGCATGTTGATGCGAGTATCTGACAACAGTCAAATTCGATCTACTCAGGCGATGCCGTTTACTTAGTATAATTAATTACTAACTGGTTAATTGATGGTGTTGGTGGTTTGGCATAATCGTACGTTGACGGATGTGACATCATAGCAACATCAATATCATCAAATACTTTTGCATTTATCAGGTCTATCTTTCCACCTCCACCTTCTTCGGCAGGTGTTCCTAAAACCGTTACCTGAAATTTAAATAAAAGGAAATACGTTTAATATCTTACGCGCGTATTAATCTATACCCGCCAGTGGTACTTTAACGTGCTTCAATTGCTTACACCGCTCTTTGGTTTTTCGTCGACTTCGAAGAACTATACACTCTCTGTCCTGCATCACTGACAGGTTTATCTTTCTACCTCCTCCTTCGTCTGGAGTTGTTCGGTGGGTCTTTAACGTGTTCCCAATGCAAAACACCTCTTCTCGGTTTTTCGTATCCTTCGAAGGTCTAGAGACTCTTTGTCGTGCATCACTTTGACTCCCAAATGAACTAAAAATTCAGAAAGATCTTGACGGCTCACGTCAAGATTCAAGCCCGTGACCACCTTCCTAAAGCAGTTTCATGACTGGAAAATCAAAATTTCTCGACCACCATCGAGCTACTGTGGCCCACAAATGAACTTGAAAAAATTCGAAATCAACTTGGTCAAGTTCGACTATACATACCTCCTCCAGTGGAATCTAGGAATCGTTTATGTGGGTCGAGGGGAACTGTACATACCTCCAGTGGTATCCGGGAATCGTTCATATGGGTCGAGAGCGACTATACATACCTTCCCGAGTGGAACCTGAGAAGCATTCATGGCAGCTTTAATAGCTAATCCTGTAGCTACACCAACTTCGGCTATAAGATTATGTCCACAAGCATGTCCTATTTCCGGTAAAGCATCATACTCACATATCACACAAATATTAGGTTTAGAAGAATCGTCATCACCATATGTTGCTCTGAATCCCGTCTCTAGGATAAAATTTCTCTCAACTTTTAATCCCGCCTTCTCTAGAAACTCTGTTAAAACTCTGTGAGCAGAATGTTCACTGAAGTTAAGCTCTGGTACAGACCATATAGCTTGACTTAATTCATTTAATTCTTCTTTATACTTGTCGACGGCGCCTTCGGCTACCGTCTTTAACTTAGTAATATCCATATCTACAAGGAAAAAAATTAGTGTCGTCAGAGAACGAAACATGTCCAACTTCACCTTTGTACATATTTTATTATATAATTTTAGTCAAATTACTAATGGACAATGCCCGAATTGATATCTCACTAATTTTCCAAGTCTTTTAACTGTTTGGTTTATACTTAATGTAAAGATATATATTACGAAATTATAGTTATCACGCGTTCTTGCTTTATCCATGTCTTCTTCTGTATTTAAACACCTGTTTCCGATGTACAATTTAACATTTTTGATCAAATATTATTATATAATTATTTTAATTCTAAGCTTGTATATGTTCCATATTCGACTGTAACTTTTGTCAGGTGACCGAGCGATACCAATCTCGCTACTGTGACCGTTAGCCAGTTTTGGACACTCGTTTATTAACAGTGCAATTTTAACCATTTATTCCGGTTTATTCCATTAGTGTTGGAATAAGCTACAGCCACCAGAAAACAACATATCGACAGCAACAATATTAGGGCCTCGACGTAATATTTGTTCCAAATTCATGAACATGTTAGTCGGCACGTACACCAACGGAAATGAACTGTCAGTTAAATAAACACGTTTGTCATGTGCCCCCTTCAATGTCAAAACAGTGTTTAAAACATTTGTGATGGGAAAATACCAGTTAAGTCATTAGGTGTATTTGACCAATCACATAATTAATTGCATAAACCTACGGATATAAAATAGCAAGATCTGAACGTGACCGATCTCTCAAGGCCAATGTCCATATAAAAGAGCAAAACCGGAGATCTACAGATTAGACACGGTTGAGATTTTTTAGAGATCAGAGAGAGAGAGAGAGAGAGAGAGAGAGAGAGAGAGAGAGAGAGAAATGGGGTTTAACGTCCACTCGACATAAACTTGGTCATTTCGGGACTAACACATGGTTTCATTTTATTTCAATAATTCGCTTGCACGTAGTGGTCTTTAGCAGTGGGGGGAAACCGGGGGACCCGGAGAAAACCCACGAGGTTGGACAGGCGTCCCTAATCTTGTCACATACAACCGGGGATTCAAAACCACGCCAGTTAAGTCAATGACAGGCCTTATGATACAGCGCGCACGTGCTAACCATTCGGCCATCCAACCCCCTTTAGAGATCAGATAACATTTAATACTTTAGGGGACACCATTGGGTTCTTTAGAAGACCATTTGATTCTCATGATGTAGGGGTACCCAGAGTCTAGCCACACTGGTTAGACTTGTACAGGAGTGTTTTTGAGAGAATGCCTTTTATGTAGTCTATGCTTGTAGCCATGTATCCTACTTTTAGCATATAACGTTGTATCCAAGAAACTGTTGTATTGTTGTTCCTGATAACCATAGTTATCTGTTGCTAACTATAGATTTTAAAACGAAGTCCTAACCAAAAAGATTTATAATAAGATCCACGCCAGAGACATTCCTAGACGATCATCGGGCTAACAAGAGAGAGAGAGAGAGAGAGAGAGAGAGATGGGGTTTAACGTTTTGTTGAAACGTCGTGTTATATGTCCATAAACCAGTGATTGTATTGCATATATACTGTGTTGTGTTTTTTAATGTGTTCAATCGCTAAATGCCACTCTAGGATTGTGTCATGAGTTATCGAATCAAGTGTCGTATTTAGATCCCAGGGGTTTTGTCCACTGCCCCAAGCTCCTGAAATCACCACATGTCTGTCTCTCTTTATTGTACTTACAGATTTCCAGTTTGCATATAGCTACGATTTAAACCATTGGACTTAATCAAAGATCTTAAGGTCTGCAGCACACGCATCAGATCATGCGACTCAATCTCTTGTATGAATATACCCTACGTTTGTCAGCAAAGGTTCCCTCTTACCAGCTATACTCTAATGTAGTCCAGTTTAATGTAGGTCTTAAACGTGACACGATACATGACCCTGAAAACGATGTCGCATGACTGTTGAACTGTAAATGATATATAGATTATAAATTACTTATATTTAAAGTAGCACGATATGATGTTTTATAGCTGAAATGGGGCATATTTAACTTACCACGATATGTTATTTTAAAAATGAAATGAGGCTTAACGGCCTATTTAAAGTAGCACGATATGTTATTTTATAAAGGAAACTGGGTTTAACAGCCTATTTAAAGTAGCACGATATGATGTTTTATAGCTGAAATGGGGCTTAACGGCCTATTTAAAGTAGCAAGATATGTTATTTTATAAATGAAATGGGGTTTAACGGCCTATTTAAAGTAGCAAGTTATGTTATTTTATAAATGAAATGGGGCTTAACGGCCTATTTAAAGTAGCAAGATATGTTATTTTATAAATGAAATGGGGTTTAACGGCCTATTTAAAGTAGCAAGATATGTTATTTTATAAATGAAATGGGGTTTAACGGCCTATTTAAAGTAGCAAGATATGTTATTTTATAAATGAAATGGGGCTTAACGGCCTATTTAAAGTAGCAAGATATGATATTTTATAAATGAAATGGGGTTTAACGGCCTATTTAAAGTAGCAAGATATGTTATTTTATAAATGAAATGACATGAAATGAAATGGGGTTTAACGGCCTGTTTAAAGTAGCACGATATATTATTCTATAAATGAAATTGGGTTTAACGACATTTTTAAAGTAGCACGATATGTTATTTTATAAATGAAATGAAATGAAATGGGGTTTAACTTCTTACTGTGCGACTCCGACTTGTCTAATGAAGATGGGCATACGCCATACATACTTTAATGAGGGAGATTTTGTCCGGACAGAGGCACTTTTATGTCAAGGGTTCTTTTATGTGCACGCTAATTGTACAGGGGTCTTGGGAACGACGATACGTTTTGTCCCTTGGCAGTCCGTCCATCCTGCACCACTGAACAGGGAGGAAAGCACCTATGAATGTTATCGGTCAACACCGGGAGCGAATCTGAGACCTTCTGGCTAGCGAGACAGCGTCTTTCTCACTAGGCCACTCTAACGACAAATTAAGCCGGCCTACGTGACCCCCTTATTATTTTATATCAGACACGCCCAATAATTGACTCCTTGAATTAAGATATCGGCAGGTGGTAACCATTTTTTAAAATGATGTGACCCATGACACTACTCTGTTTCAGACGCCACCCGACCAACAGCAATATTACTGAACCGCATTATTAAAAATGTAATTGGGTTTAACTGTCCTCTTTTAATCAACCCGTACACATTATTATTATATAAAGTGTATTGTTCCGACAATACTGGTTGTTAGCAGGAAATACGATGGTTAATCCCGAGGTGGCTGTTACCAGGAGATACGATTATAATCCCGAGTTGAATGTTACCAGGAAGTACGATGTTCGATCATGGGGGGGGGGGGGCGACAAAGTTCCTTGAGAATGTCCACCGAGATGCCCGAGGTTGGTTAGTGGCATAGACCGAGAAAATATCCAGGGGTTTTCCGGTGTTGTATCGCCTTGCCGCAGTGATGCATGACAGAGATTCTGGTAAGAATCTGTGGTACACGTAAAAGAACACGCGACAGTTTGAAATCGATGAAGAGTAAACGTTATTGAGGCTTTCCGTCCATCACTCTACATGTCCATATTCATTATCCCGGTTGGTGCAGCCGTAAAGTAGGACGTTAAACCCCATTCCATTTCGGTAAGACCATCGGACTTGTTAACGAACATTTAAAGTAAAAAATTTTCTAATATCCATTTTCATTGGCTAAGAGGTAAAACTTGCACTAGTCATGTAACTCTCAACCAATAAAAAGTGTGCAACCTTAAGAAATTTTAGTTTTATAAATAACGCCACAGAATGTATTGGATATATTATTGACTTGTCATAGGTATATAAAAAGATAACATACCTGTGTATATTATTATTACAGGTAGATCTTAAAGATAACCTATATATTACCTATATATAACAAGATGATTAACATACTTAATATGCAATATATACCGTGTTCACGAGTATAATTATCGTATATACAATAATTAACTTATTCAATGTGATTTAATCGTATATACCGTCTTCACAAATATAATTATCATATATACGATAATTAACATATTCAATTATCATATTTATATACGGTAATTAATGTATTTAATGTGATTTATACCGTGTTCACGAATATGAGTATCGTATATACTGTAATTAACTTATTTAGGGTGATTTAATCGTATATACCGTGTTTACCAAAATAATTATGGTATATACGCTGTGTGAGAGCTGTGTCCGAAACATTTCGTCTCTACAAGCTGATAATGTTCCAATTGCGCTCTAATCACAGAGTAAGACATTTTTACAAATTCCCCACTCGAGCTCGTATCACAGATTAATATCTACTACTTGCACACTCGAGTGTCCGAAGCAGTAAATATGACGTGGTCACTTTGTTATCTAATTCGATTTCCTGTTCTTCCGATTGCAAAAATGGGTCTTTAACAACGAATGCAAACCGGAGGGGGTGCCCCCACTGTGCCCACTTTGAAGAATTAGGGATTAAGTCCAATTAAGAATTATGTGGATTAGTGTATTAAGCGGATTAGGATTAGTTGATAGCGGGTACTTGGAAGGAAAATAATATAGATATTACTGTATAAAGTTTTGGTTTATTTTATTTTTTATTTAACAATTAGAGTGAGTTCATCTCACCAATCATAAGACTGAATATTTAGTCACTTCCAGTTTACTTGTCTGCAAATGCAGGTCAGCTGTAGTTCACATATCAGGAGATATGTGCTAAGTACTGACCACACTAATCAATCCCTTGTTAGTTAATCTCTCTATTGTTGGGGATCACGTGGCTAAGTGGGTAAGACGCTAGCTCGCTAGCCTGGAGGTCGGGTGTTCGATCCCTGCATTGGCCGAGAAAGTGCATCCAGATTTTCCGGCGTGGTTCTCCCTTGTCAGTGATGCAGGACGGAGGGGCTGACAAGGAAAGCTGTCTAGTCGTTCGGATGGGACGAAAAACCGAGGTCTCGTGTACACATTGGCGTGCACGTAAAAGATCCCTTGGCAGTTGGAATTCGATATAAGAGTAGGCCGTAGTGCCGCTGTCCGGACAAAATTTCCCTCATAGCACACTGTATGGCGTATGCCCGTCTTCATTAGCCCAGGTTAGGAGTAGGACGTTAAACTCCATTTCATTTCATTTCATTTCTCTCTATTGTTCCTCGTTAACGCTTGTTAATCCCTATATTGTTCCTCGCCTGGGTGAAACTTGTTGTTATTAGAAAAGTGGGCTTACTGGCATGCGACCAACCGGAGGACCTGGGGGAAACCCACGAGGTTAGACATGCGTCCGTACTCCTTGTCACACCAATTGACTCAATGTAAGACCTTATGATCTAAAGCACAAGCGTTAGACCATTTCTACCCGCTCCGTCAAACAAATACGACTATACGAGAACAAAAAAAAAATCAAAATAAGGTTATTATCCTTGTTTAATGTGACATGCAGTATGTTCGATTTAGATAAAGAGCTGACAGCTCTCGTTATAATAGATAAAGAATCTATAAAGAAAAAGAAATACATGTATGTTGAAAATATCAGTACAATTATTTCATTCTGAGTGGAGTTATCGTCGGTTGGTTGGAGAACAGTGTAGTCACGATTGCCATTGCCACAGTCGTTACGATAATAAACAAAGTTTCAGGAGAGCCAGCTCAATAAGATTTTATGATTAGGCATTTTCTAAGTCTTTGATAAAGTCTTGTTTTATTTGTTTGAGAAGCTCGGGTCTACTGTATATATCCAGAGCTGTGTATGCTAACACCTTGGCTTGTTTCAATGTGAACGGCTGGGCGACAACAGAACCTGCAAATATAAAACAAACATGATTAAATAAACTACAATAAAAAGTCTCTAGAATACAAAGCCCCCCCCCCCCCTTAGCAAGTGCCCTGTAATTGGCGGTCATATACTGATCTTGGGATTTTGGTTCGGTGACACGAAGTAAGCATGTCGAGTGGACGTTAAACCCCATCTCTCCCTCCCTCTCTCTCTCTCTCTCTTTCTGTGAAAATGGTGACGCCGTACCTGAATCTGTTGTGAATTCCTTGGTATGATTAGCTGCTTTACCACCAATAGAGTACATAGGATGTATACTGGGTACCACGTGCGAAACATTACCCATATCTGTCGATCCAGTTGGGGGATCTGGTTCATCCCACAATTCAATACCAGCTTCCGCAGCATTCGTCTCGAACAATCCCACAATAGTCTTATTACTGATTAACCTGGAATATGGTCTGTCATCAAATTTATAGTCTACCTACAAATAGACAAAACTACAGTCTAACTTCAAATAGACACAACAATAGTATAGCTACAAATAGACAAAACTATGGTCTACCTTCAAATAGACAAAATAATAGTAGAGCTACAAATAGACAAAACTATAGCCTACCTACAAATAGACAAAACTATAGTCTACCTGCAAATGCGTTGGTCCAGAAAAGTCAGCCTGTTTGGAAATTTTAGCGGGCCCGTCTTCCACACACTGATCCGCAGTGAATATTCACTAAGCCGCGACAATCACTGATAAGGATGACATCGATGCGGCTTAATGAGCCACAAATATTAACTTTTTTCCTCCGACAAATTAAATTCTAAAACATTTTTTTTTATGTATTAGAAAAATAAATAAAGACTTTTGAAGTATTTGTAGGTAAAAATTATTTCCTATTTTAGTGTAAATGGGTATTAAAATGAGTAAAAGGCTCCATTCTGCTCGAATCTGTAACGTCTTATGTAAACAATGCACGCGCCATTGAGCCAATGATTGACGCCGCGTGATATGACGTCATCTTTTACAGAGATATTAGAAGATTTTCGTAATACTCTGTGAAACAGATTGCGTCTTCCATAGCCGCAGTGACTCACTGAGTATTGCGCCGTCTCGCTAACCAGAAGGTCCCGCGTGCATCTTCTTCATCCCGGTAGGTGCAGAAAAGTAGGACGATAAACGTAAAATTAAAGTCAATATCCCTACAAATACACGGGCTATATATAATGGGATATCAGCGCTTTACGAATCTTCGCGGGGGCTACGGGGACTCACTGAGTATGACCTTGTCTCTCTAACTAGACGGTCCTGGGTATTAGTCGATAAAGCGTCTCGGCATTTTCGGTTATGAGACTGAACCACTGTGGATAAGACACCTCACACAACATACGGATACTTTAAGTAATTAATAGTACATGTGCTAGAAGACTGGGGACAGCGTATATTCGTTGGGATGGGACGAACAGCCGAAGTACCGTGTACACATTGGCGTGCACGTTAAAGATCCCTTGGCAGTTGGAATGCGATGAAAGCCGAACAGCCGCTGTGCAGGTTGTTTGGCGTATGCCCGTCTTCATTAGCCAAATCGGAGCAGAACAGTAGGATATTAAACCCCGATTCATTTCATTATCAAGCTGAGCTCCAAAAATTAAAAAGGATAAAAACATACCGTGCATCCTGTAGCCACAGCAGCGCTTTCAAAACATTTACTGATCTTGTTTTTTAATACACCTAGTTCAGTATCAGTTGGTGCTCGACAATAATATTCTAATTCAGTTAAATCTGGTATAATGTTCGGTTTAGCTCCACCCTTTGTTATGATACCTGTCAATATAATAGATCTGTAATGGGGGGGGGGGGGGTAATCACATTTTTTCCTATCATGAAAATAAAATAATCACAATCGATATTATAAAATTCGATGTAATCACATTCGACATATACACTTTCCACATCTGATTCATTCATATTCGACATAATCACATTCGATATAGTCATATTCGATATAAACATATACGACATGGTCATATTCGATGTAGTCATATTCGACATAATCACGTTCAGTCTATTCACGTTCAATGTACTGACATTCGATGTAATTACCTTCAATGTAATCCCATCCAATGCTTTCATATTGGATATAATCACATTCGACATAATCACATCGCGTTGGCCAGAGTCTCCCTACATCTTGAGATCTGCGGATTAAGCACGTGATCTGCTAGTTCGGCTAAACGTTTTTACATTCGATGTAATCACATCACATTTGTAAGAAAAGTTTATGCCTGGGTCAAAAATATTATTCGTGTTGACCGGAGTCTCCTTAGACCTTGAGGGCAGAGGTTTCAGCTTGCCAAGCCTATAGTTACATCCGGGACTGTTTTTTTCACGAGTACAAAAATCACTGATTACACTAATTACAGATTTGTTTTCTTATATAAATCTTACCATGGACTCGCCATTTTGGCTTAAAGTGTTGTCTTAAACAGGATACGTTCTGGTAACACAGAACAGCGGCATCGAGGGCGTTCACACCTTCCCATGGAAAACCAGCCGCATGCGAAGCTCGTCCATGATACACCACGTTACATCTGAAATGTAAAGATAAAATCACTTGCTAGTTAGAAAACGTAGCGCCACAGCCAGTTGCAAAAAATAAAACAAATAATACTTTAGCAATCGAAATAAGAGTAGGCTGTTAGGGTCACTGTCCGTGGTATTTCGTCTCATAGCACACTGTCTTACGTATTTCCGTCTTAAATCGTTCAACCCCATGTTACTTTATCTCTGATCAACTCCAAGGTGTGGTTTTACACTGTCAACATAGCTAATGATATAACTGTAATTAAAATTACAATCCTATTAAAATACAGATCTGTATTTCGTTTCGTTACATGAAAATCTGGCCGGTGAATGTGGGAGGCCGTGTCAGGGGTCATGCGGAGGCTTTTGACAATATGGCGTCAGACATCTGATTAACCAATCAGCGTTGTTGTTTCAAGTGGGTATTTGGTAATCCAACCTTTGCTTTGTCTATCGCACGCCAAGATCTCCCCACAACAGAGAAATTGATTGGCTAATCCCCCACCTCAAGAAGAATGCGAGTTAAATAACAACTCTTCCAGATCCTGGTGTAGTAAAAAAACGAAATAAAATAGGATCCGTGTTTCAATCAGATTGTTAAAATTACTAACTTGTTTATGGATAAAGTTGGTGGTTTGGCATGATCAAATGGTGACGGATGAGACATCATAGCTACATCAACATTATCAAATACATTCGCATTGATGAGGTCTATTTTCCCACCTCCTCCTTCTTCTGCGGGTGTTCCTAAAACTGTTACCTGAAATTTAAATTTAAATTAAATTAAATGGGGTTTTTAAAATGTCTTAACATCGGACTAATAAATAAGGTTTTATTTAGCTTGCTGCTAATGACAATGGCATACAGTGCTCATCGATTTTTCCTCCCCTTCGAAGTACTAGACACACTCTGTCCTGCACTACTGATACGAATAACCAAAGAAATGTCTCGGCCATAACATAGCTACCATGGCTCCCAATGGAACTTAAAATTCAACATGAACTTCTCGGTTTACGCCCCTATTCAAGCTCGTGGCGTTCTTATTGACAGACCATTCCTCAGACAACTCGATCACCTTCCCAAAGCAGTTCTTTTAGATATCCACCGGGTCAAGTAAGACGACACTTACCTTCCCAAGCAGTATCTCGGGAGCGTTCTTATAGTAAGACTATACATACCTTCCCGAGTGGAACCTGAGAAGCATCCATGGCAGCTTTAATAGCTAATCCTGTAGCTACACCAACTTCAGCTATTAGATTATGTCCACAAGCATGTCCAATTTCCGGTAGAGCATCATACTCACAAATCACACAAATATTAGGTTTAGAAGAATCGTCATCGCCATATGTTGCCCTGAATCCCGTCTCTAGGATAAAATTTCTCTCAACTTTAAATCCCGCCTTCTCTAGAAACTTTGTTAAAACTCTGTGAGCAGAATGTTCATTGAAGTTAAGCTCTGGTACAGACCATATAGCTTGACTTAATTCATTTAATTCGTCTTTATACTTGTCGACGGCGTCTTCAGCTGCCGTCTTTAACTTAGTAATGTCCATATCTGTAAGAAAAGAAATTAGTGTTGCCAGACAACGAAACATGCCCACCTTCAGCTCTGTAGAGGATGCCCAAAACTTGGGTCAATTTGAAACTAACATGTGGTTATTTGTGTTTGAAAGGTTATGTGTGCAATGGTAGGAAATGAAATACAATGAGATTTAGCTTCCTACTATTCTGGGGGTTGGGGCGAATGGTTAGCGCGTGTGCGGTTTTGATCCCCCGACTATACGTAACAAGGAGTAGGGTCGCCTGTCCAAACTCGTGAGTTTTCTGCCACTGCTAGAGACCTCTACGCGCAAGCGAATTATTGAAATAAAATAGAACCATATGTTAGTCCCGAAATGACCTAGTTTGTGTCTGGTGGACGTTAAACCCCATTTCTCTCTCTCTCTCTCCCTCTCTCTCTCTCCCTCTCTCTTTCTCTCCTCCCCCCCCCCTACTGTTGCACCACGACTGGCCTGATGAACGGGCATACGCAATAGTGTGGCATGAGGGAAACTTTACCTGGACAACGGCACTGCGGACTATTCGAATTCAAACTGTCAAGGGATCTTTTACGTGCACGCCAATGTGTAAACGGGACCTCGGTATTCGCATTGTTAAGGAGGAAACGTTTGCCAGTGTTAGTGCAAATTCTAAATACAATATATGTGTTCGATCCCTGCGTTGGCCGAGAAAGTTTATAGGAAATTTCGACCGTGGTTCTTGTATGAATAAACCCTATACGTTTGTCAACAAAAATTCGCTCTTACCCGTTAACCGGTGGTCTTCGTGACTCAAATGTATTCCAACTATATGTAGGTCTTAATATAATTCACGTCACGTGCAGAGATATATGGCAGGGGAGAAAATGATATCGTATAACTATTGAACTGTACATAATATAGATCTTACCAGTTAACCGGTGGTCTTCCTCACTCTAATGTAGTCCAACTACTGTATGTAGGTCATAATATAAGTCACGTCACGTGCAGAGATATAAGGCAGGGGAGATAATGATGTCGCATAAGGCCACAGATCACTAATTATTTCCCCATTGACTTTAATGTTAATTCTCGTCTCTTAAACTGGCTCTAACTTTTTCCCAAATTTTCGTTGGGTAGAACGCTTTCTGCCACAGATGGAGCAACATGTGGCAAACTCTTGCCCAAAAGCATGTATGAGGTTCACCATGAAAAAAGACTAAAAATAACTTTGGCCCTGTGTCCTTAATTGTTGAACCGTAAATAATAGAGATCATTGATAACATCTTTAAAGTAGCACAATATATCAATTTATAAATGAAATGAAATTAAATGTGGTTTATCGTGCTAAACCGAAATTCCGAAAAGACCTAGTTTGTATCGGGTGGACATTAAACTCCATCTCTCTGTCTCTCTCCCTACTCGTCCACCCTGACTGGGCTAATGAACACGGGCATACGCCATACAGTGTGCTATGAGGGAAATTTTGCCCCCCCCCCCCCTCCATCAACCAATGAAAAGTCTGTAACCTTAAGAATAAGCTCCCAGGTAGTATTTGATAAAAGATAAGATCTGAATTTACTAATCTTTCAATCACTGTTTATGAGAAATATCTTTGATCCAGAATCACAAAACATTGCACATTATTTCTTACTGATGTATTTGATACATTAAAACAACAACAGTTTTATAAAAGGCTATATTTTAGTTAAAACAATTTTAAGTAAATTCTTAACTTAAGTCTGAGAATGCTTTGTGAACTCGACGCCAGGTAGTATTTGATATAAGAGTGTTATTACAGGTATAAGATAACATACCTGTTATATATTATTATTATTATTACAGGTAGATCTATATAGATAACCTATACCTATATATAGCACATGTCATATATCATGTGAAGAACACAAGATGATCAACTTATTTAAAGGCTCGATGCGTTATTGAACTTCCACAATATCGTAGTTTATAATGCAAGGATTACAATATCACTAAATGACGCACCTAACCTTTAATATTACCTATATATATATATAGCACAAATCATATATTACCTGACGAATACAAGATGATTAAACATACATTATGGAAGAGCTAAATCTGCCTATTGCAGGTCTTTCTTTAGGCCTGAAATGTTATCTAAATTATTAATTAGACATTAATTAACTTATCCAGACCATACACAACTCTCGATGCCATCGCTAGCCTGTGATAATTACTGGATTAGGATCTGATTTGCTGTTCAACATTCATTTATGATTAAATCATGAAATGGATAATCGAGACTATGTTTTATCGTACCGACTTTAGTAATGATGACCGAGGCTAGGCCGAAATTCAATCGCCAAATTCTCGGTTTAGAGTGGATCAATTTGACTGAAATTTCCAGCATATTGCCTTTACGTTATCTAGTTTTTAACTATTATAGTGAAAACTGCCAGCTCTTTATCTAATCTCCCATAATGTAATTTTAACTTACTTAATATGCAGTATAATAGACCGTGTTCACAAATAAATTATTTTACATACAGTAATAACTTATTTAATGTGGTCCAATCGTATATACAGTGTTTATGAATATAATTATCGTATATACACTTTGTAGTTAGATTCATTATGTAACATTTAATGAAGAAATAAAATGAAAATGCCAAGGCTACGTAATCTCCCAGTTTGGATTCAGTCGGATTTAAACTAGGCCCACCAAGTTTCTCCACTACCAATAAAAGATGAAGAGGTCTTGTTACGCTTGAGCAGCATAATTCAGTGAATTTCAATTTATCATAACTTTGTAAATATTGAACGGAACTGAACCTTTTGTCAACTGCAAGGGATTCGTGTAGCCCTAAATGACGCATCGAACCATAATATGCAATATTATTATGCGGTCTTCACAAATATAATTATCGTATATATGGAATGTGAGAGCTGTGTCCGAAAGATTTCGTATCTGCAAGCTTTGGACTTTTACAGAAACTATGACTTGAAACCACCGAGATTCGAGCGCCTAGTCAAAACTCCTCAATTGAACTGGTGTCAAAGATAACGGCATATTTACTACTCACACACTCGGGTGTCAGAAACATAAAATACGGCTTGAGTCACTTTGTCATACAATCGTATACAGACTGTAAATATAGAACTTTAGTCTACGCCAATTTGATTCCCTGTCCTATCGTCTCTTAATAATTATATAAATATATGTGACCAGTACCACCCCAGTCAACTTAAATATTTAAAACTAAAAGCTTTTAAACAGTGTTACGGATTACTTTTGGGCAGCACAATCAAGTACTTCGGTTTTTAAGTAAGCCTTTTTTCCGAAGAAATAAAACGGAAATTGTTTACAAGTTTTCCCGAAGAACAGAAAATCAAATTGGTGTAGATTTATTTACAATTTCTTAAATGTTGATCCACAGATAGTTTCTGACTTTTATTTAATATTGATGTTTTAGAGGCGGAGTGATTGGGTATTGTTTTACATAAGGTCTTGGAATCGGAATGATCATGTATTGGTTAATATTGATGTTTTAGAGGCGGAATGATCAGGTATTGGTGAATATTGATGTTTAAGAGGGGGGATGATCGGGTATTGGTTAATATTGATGTTTTAGAGGCGGAATGATTAAGTATTGGTTAATATTGATGCTTTGGAAGTGTAATGATCAGGTATTATTTAATATTGATGTTTTAGAGGCGGAATGATCAGGTATTGGCTAATATTGATGTTTTAGAGGCGCAATGATTAGGTATTGGTTAATATTGATGCTTTAGAGGTGGAATGATCAGGTATGTATTAGTTAATATTGATGTTTTAGAGGCGCAATAATTGGGTATTGCTTAGTATTGTTTTTTGGTTAGTATTGATGTGCAATGATCAGGTATTGGGGGATATTGATGTTTTAGACGTGGACTGATCATGTATAGTGAAAACTAATGTTTTAGAGTCGGATGATCTGGACATAAACTAGTATAATTTGTGGAAATCGACTCCTGAAATAGCGTCACGTCATAACCAGCCCTCTCGGTTGGTAATCCCGTGTCATATGACGTCACATCATACCCGGGTCCTCTTGTTTACTGATCCACCGTAGCCCCGCGAGTAGATTACTAGTCTGAGAGATGACGGACACATATCGTGTTAATTCAGTGTTAAAGCAAATTCCAGACATACCCTGTATGATTCCTGTCACATCCCGTGTTTATCAATGACTGGACGACTAGATATTATATAAGATGAACATAGACATGGCTAAATCTATTTGTTAAGGCCATCTCAATTTTTGTCAAGGTCGCTTAAATGTAAATAAAGTTAAGGCACGTGAATGTTGGCGAGATTGTAGGTTAGGTTTAGGGTAAGCATTGGGGCTAGGTCCAGGTTAAGGGTTAGGGTTGGGATTAGCGTTAGCCCTGTTTACATCTCGTGACCTATGACGAAAAGTTAAGGTGGCCTTATCATTTAGCACTAACCATGCAGATAGACATGTGTTTGAATAGGAAGAGGATGTGAGAATTAAATTTAACTGACAAGTCTATCATAATAATTAGAGCTACAAACCTTGTTATACACAGGAATAGAATGACTGTTTATTACTGAGCGACGTTTATCAAGCAATGAGACGAGACACATGTTAGAATTAGATTTAACTGACACTTTTATCATAATAACCACGACTCCTTGTTATACACTTAACAATGTACACTTGTTGTCTACTCGGTTATTTCTTGTAGCATTGTAACATACTAAACTTACGCTGTCTGTCTATTAGCTCCGCTTGAGAATATATATTAAACTAGTTAACGGACATTTTGATTCCTAAATCGAAGATTCGAGTCGAAAACTCTAAGTATAATTGGAGAATATTGAAAATACATTTACCCCTGTCCCATTGAATATAATTGAATAGCTTTATTTGGTCTTTGTGTATATGTAAAACGGCCGAGAACCACATCGGGACTTTCCGACGAGATTTCCCTTTGTCAGTGGTGTAAGACGGAGGGCCTGACATGGTCAGCTGTCTAGTCATTCGGCTGGGACAAAAAACCGAGGTCCCGTGTATACATTGGCATGCACGTTGGAATTCGATATAAGAGTAGGCCATAGTTCCGCTGTCCGTGCAAAATTCACCTCATAATGTATGCCCGTCTTCATTAGCCCAGTCGGAATACAATAGTAGGAGGTTAATTATACCCCATTTCATTTCATTTCTCTGTGTGCAAAATGAGCCAAAAAAAATGTTACCCATTCTGATAGAAAACTACTTATGTAAATGTGAATACTTTAATGATTTTTTTTTCAGCAAGAAAGTATTAGTACACAACTTATTTTTCAATGTGAATACTTTAATAATTTTTTAAGAAAAAATACATGAAGTTTGTATTAGATAATGTACGATCAGAATGGGTAACATTTGTTTGTTCCACCCAGTAAAAAATTACACACCTTTTTTGTGACTAAGTGAGTAAGACGTTGGCTCGCTAGCCTGGCGGTCGAGCACCCCCCTCCCCCGTCGCCCCGTGTTGACCGAGACAGTTGTTATTGGATACTGTACGATCATAATGGGTAACATTATTTTTTTGCCCACCCTGTAAAAAAAATACACGCCTTTTTGTTAACTCTTCTCTGTAGTCTGGATTTGTGATGTGGGTATCCGTCTACATGCAAACTTTTGTTTCCAGTAATAGCGGGGAGCCACGGTGGCTAAGCGAGTAACACAATAGCTCGCTAGCCTGGAGGACGCGGGTTTCTCTCCGGCTGTTGACCGAGAAAGTTCATCGGGATTTTCCGGCGCGGTTTTCCCTTTGTCAGTGGTGCAGTATAGAGGGCCTGTGTAGCCGTTCGAATGAGACGAAAACCGAGGTAACGTGTATTGGCGTATATTAAATCTTCTATATCA